AAACGGTATTCCAGTTTTTTACACTCTTAATTCACAACCTTTCACCACCACTAGAAATCTCACACATGTTACTTACAAATACTGTTGAAAACTTGACAACTGAATATAAAACTGTGAGATATGCTGTGGACTGGACACAGGCCAGATGAATGATGGCTTTAGTAAAGCATGCAGCTTGTTAAGAAGGCATTGCAATTGTGGACATTGGATCAGTTGCTCAAAAAACTTTCATAAAATGATTTTGAATTAAGGTTTCTATATGGGACATCAGCACACTCATATCAGCAGCACAGACCTGGTGATCCCCATTTCCGGTCTTTTTCAGGGTCTCTAATAGGCCCCAGTGGATTGGAGGCAAAGCGCTGTAAGAACTCAGCAAGTGAAGCTGACTTAATGGATTCTGATTTATTTCTGCAATCCTCAGGGCCCTCAAGATAGCAGGTGCAAACTTAGAATAATGAGCTGTAGATGAAATAATAATTGGGCAAGTTCTATCTTGTAATCGATCTGCAACTACTTTAGCAACAGCTGTGTGTGTATCCAAAATATATCCTGTAGTACTGTACACAGAGTGAATGGCAGCCAGACAGTCCTCATCAGAGCACCAGCCAGCCACTAAGTCCTGCTGAAGCTTTCCAAGTAGATCTTTCCGCAGCTGGAAGTGGCCCTGATTTTCCAGGTGGTTAAATAATTGTGTCACCAGTTGTCCATCTCCATTGGCAATCAGGTGTAAGTATCGCTCAAGATTGGAGGACTTCAAAATATCTACTGCTGGTGAAAAACTGGAAATTAATTTTCTTCCCCTCAAATCATAAACACCTGTTCTTATGAAGTCAGTCAAAACATTGTTTTCATTGGAAGCACAAATACATTTTCTAATAGGAATTCCCATCATTTTAGCATAGAAAGCAGCTAACATGTTGCCAAAGTTTCCTGTAGGAATGCAAATATCTACAGGGCTTCCAAAAGAAATAATACCTTGATGAACAAGATCAAGGTATGCAGAGGCATGGTAAACTATCTGAGGAAGCAGTCTTGCCCAGTTTATGGAGTTTGCTGCAGCTAAAGCTGTTCCATATTCTACTGTAAGAAAGCCAGTAAAATCAGAATTAGTAAAGATTTGCTTTATAGCTGTCTGGCAAAAATCAAAATCAGATTTGACACCCACTGACCAAGCATTTTCCTTCTGACAGCAAATCATTTGTGATTTTTGAATTGGGCTTACTCCATCCTCAGGAAAAAAATTCACCACAGCAATTCTCTGTTTGTCAGTGTCACGGAGACGACTAAAGCCATCTAGAACAGCACTCCCTGTGTCCCCAGAAGTAGCTACCAGGATCAAGTAATTGCAGCTTCTGGGTATGCAGTAGGCAAATAAATGTGGCATCAACTGTAATGCAAAATCTTTAAATGATGCTGTTGGTCCATGAAATAACTCAAGAAGGAACTGATTGCCTGCCAGATGCCTAAGTGGGGCAACTTTAGAACAACTAAAGTTTTCTCCATAAGCAGTTTCAATAATTTCCGCCAGCTTAGAAGCAGGAATATCAGCAGGATGTATGCATCTTTCTAGTATCACCTGGGCTCTTTCAATGTAAGTTGCTTCTATCAGACCTTGCCATTCTTCAGCAGTGAATTTTGGAAGTCCTCTCTCAGGAACAAAGAGTCCTCCATCAAGGGCTAAGCCCTGAGTAACAACATCACTGAAATATAATTTATGAGAGTCTTCCGTACTCCTTCCAGACCTACTAGACCTTGTTGAAATGAAAGTTTCCAGTTCTGAGTCTTGGAATCTCTTCACAGCATCAAGTACCTTTTCTGCTACCACCTCTGCTGCAACATCGCCTCCACAAAGAACACGGATGTCAAACCACCTTTTGTAGAACTGCTTCCTAAACTGAAGTATGTCTTTGAGAGAAACACCAGGAGACAGGCCCACGACACGATCCATTCCCTTTGATTTCAGCCTGCTCATAATGACTGTTGTGGGCACATCCAGATATACAACTATTCCATTTTTCTTTATGTGCTGCATGCCAGCAGCATGCATTGGATTGGACCCACTAAGGGAAATTACACTTCCAGATGCCGAGAACTTCAACAGTGCTTTTCCTTCCTCCTCTAGAAACTTCTCACAACCAATGTCCTGCAGTTTTTCTGACACACTCATATTCCAGGTTGTTTCAAGGACATCGTCATCTATGTCTATGACAGGGCAATCCAGTTTCTGGCCTACTATTCTCCCAATTGTTGTTTTCCCAGCACCTGGAGGTCCCATCAGGATAATATTTTTCTTTCCAAGAAGAGAATGACTTGAGAACCATGACTTCCATATCTGTGCAAATGCAACAGGTCTTGAAAGCATCAGTTTTAAGCACATGCTAGAAAGACTGTTTTGGGTTATTAGTCTTAAAGGCTGATACTGAAAAATGTGAAACATCTTCTGATGAGTTATTGTGGGTTTTTTTCCAAGACAACTTGAAAATCCACTTAACTGCTTCAGAAAGAAAACAAAAAAACAAAAAACCAAACAGTAACTAGTCCTTCAGCAAATATCTAAGAAAAAACCCTCAAGGATACAAAATTTAGAACAAGACTTCAAACCTAAATCCAGCTATAACCTCATCAGTACCAAGGAGGTATTTTTCAGAGTAAGACTCATTCTCCTCTCCTGCATAGTTCCAACTTGTTTCCACTGATAAATCCAAATTCAAAAAGTTCATGTCCTCAAGGTAAAAAGACTTCCAAACCTAACACTTATAATACTGTTTGCAAATAATATTGCTTATAGGAATTAAAAATAAATTATTTTTTCTTCTAGAAGACTTGCTTTTAACTACACATTTATGAGTAACAATTAACTCAATTACCTTCTTGTAATTAAAATGTTAACAAACTATGCATTTGTCCCACCTCCCAACAAAACTTTGATTTTTATTTTTTTTTTTAATTATTTCTTTCTAAAAAAGCAAATGCAAGACCCACTTAAATACACAGATAACTCACAGTCTTGTGCAACAGCAAGGCTGGATGAGTTGCATTCAAATCTCTTCTGAAGGGAAGGAAACAGTTTTGAAGAACTCCTGTACTGGGATTGTACTGAATGCAATTGGGGGATAGAAAGGGGAGAAGAGACAGACAGACAGAGAGAAATCATGAGGACTCTACCAACAAAAAAAGTAACTAAGAAGGATGGATTTCCAACTAAGCAAGAAACTCCCAATATTATGCTCTGTTTACTTAGAAAAATAAACACCAATATCAGCACTAAATTTGTCTGCAATGTTAAGAGCAAAGGGGGAAAGACTCTTAAAATCTCCCTAAAACTGCAAGAGGGGCACTGGGAAGAGCATTTGGCCACTTTTATGGAAAGCTGAGCTTGCAAACAGTAAACTTCTATCTTTGCACCCAGTGCTGTGACCTGGAGCACATGCTGTAATTACAAGACATAGATCAGAGTAAAAATGGCCATATAAGGCTATCCAGAACTTTTTCCTCAATCCTTGTAAAGTATAAGGGGCTCATCCTATGTAGACGCAATATAAAGGTTCTATAAATCTTTAATTAAAAAAGGGTTTAAAAAACCTTTATAAACCTTTAATAAAAGGAAGACCAAGCTGCAAAGAGTAACTGTAATATCCAGTATTGCTCTAAAACTGTACTGCAATAGTAAGCAAGAGTGCATATATAAATATGTATATATTCCTTTTAGGGACAGAAAGAGATCTTCATATTAAACTTGCAGATGTAAAAAAGTTATATTCAGGAGTAAATAAACCCAAACCCAGTATATTTTAGTAACTTTATTTCTTAAATTTCTTCACTTTAAACATCGTGTGTGAACTAAGGGAGTGAAAACTATGCCAAGCACAGAGTCCAGCCTGCCACGTTCTGCTCCACTACAGGTTAACTTTGAGCTGCAGTTAGTTGGTGTGCATTACACAAATAATGGGTGTAACATCTGGGCTGCCTTATTTAGGCCTTAGTTATTGTTTAAAATCAACTTGAGCTTTGCACTCACCCACATAAAGTACATATACATAGAAGGCCACAAGCATTGAATACAACCCATTTCTCTTTATAATAATTTTTTGTCCACTGGCAAAACTTTTAACAGTAAAAACAGCTCAAATGACCCACCTACCCCACTTTAGCTACAAACTCCACAAAAAAAGGGTGGGGTTGTTGCAGCACAGCTTACACCCATACCTCCAGTGACATTCTGCTTTGGCTATTCAGCTCGACATGGACGGGGATAGCACCTATGTATCTTTAGCCGCAACCCACAATTTTAACAACCATTGCCGGCGACAGGCGCTCTAGTAACAACCTGGGCCTTGTTACTTGGATAGACACGAAACCACCCCCAAACCGAGCTTCTGCTCCAGTGGCTTCCTGGAGTCAGAGCACGGATGGGAGGAGGAAGGGAGCGGACGGACCGCACCCACCCACCCGGCCAGCAGGGCTGCGGGCTGCCACCTCCCCTCGCCGCGTCCTGTCCTGTCCTGTCCTGTCCCGCCCCGTCCTGTCTTGTCTTGTCCTGTCCTGTCCCGTCCTGTCCTGCCTTGTCCCGCTCTGTCCTGTCCTGTCCCGTCCCCCTTGTCCCGGCTGGGTTCCACCCCCGCCCCCCAGCGCCTTCAGCGCGGCGCGCGCACGTACCGGCGGGGGCGGGCCCGCTGCCGCAGGTGCCGCGCAGGCGCAGTCCAACGGCCCGGCACGCCCCGGCTCCTCCCGCACCGCACGGTACCGGCAGCGGCTGCGCCTGCGCGGCCGTTCCGCGCCTGGCGCTGGAGCAGGTGGCGGCGGAGGCCCCGCCCCTCATGGCGCCGTTCCCCTGACGGGTTTCCCCGGTAACTGACAACAGCCGCCGGCCCCGCCCCGAGCCCCTCGGTGAGGTGGCGCTTCCCCTGTCCAAGCCCCCGAGGCGGGAGAATACCCCGTGTCCAGAGCTCCACAAGCAGGCGGGCGCTTGCCCGTGCCCCGGCTCCCGCGGCGGGAGCATGGCCACGCAGAGTGCTCAGGAGGGCGCCTGTGACCCCCCGCCCCGGCCGGAGCAGCCCGGCAAACCTGGCGGGTATGTGGGTGTGACGGAACCATTAGTGGGCTGGGTGGCTGGTTCTGGCAAGGCAAAGCACCTAACGGGTAACACATATTAAAAAAAACCCAAACAAACTAGTTTTTGCATAGTTGCTCCTCCTCCTAACGAGTCAATAACGTCAGGAAGGACACTGAGGTACTGGAGTGTGTCCAGAGAAGGGCAGCGAACCTGGTGAAGGGTCTGGAGCACAAGTCTGATGAGCAGCTGAGGGAGCTGAGGGAGAAAAGGAGGCTCAGGGGTGACCAAACACTCTCTACAACTGCCTGACAGGAGGGTGCAGCCAGCTGGGGGTTGTCCTTTTTTCCTAGGCAGGAAAAAAGCGACTGGACAAGAGGACGTGGCCTCAGCTGCACCAGGGCAGGTTTAGATTGGACATTAGGAAGAGATTCTCCATAAGATAGAGCGATTAGGTACTGGAGTGGGCTTCCACCATGAAGGTGGTGGAGTCTCTGTCCCTGGAGGTGTTTAAGGGAATAACTGGATGCGGCACTCAGTGCCATGGTCTAGTTGACAAGATGGTGTTGGACTTGGTAATTCAGAGGTCTTTTCCAACCTCACTGATTCTGTGATTCTGTGATCTGAGGGTTTACAGTCTACTCCAAGAGGTGATGATTAAGTTTGGTGTCTTCAGTGGCATCTTGTTCATAATTTGCAAAGCACTCCTGTGCACAGGAATTAGATGACATCTTTTTTTTACTTGTACTTAGAACAACTCAGTGAGCAGCTGAAAATGCTGAAAAGGTGGGCTTTCCAGTTTCCATACTTCCAGTGTTTCAGGTGTGTCATCTAACATTGTTTCTTTTGCTTCATTTTCTTACATCTTGCCTTAAAAATATAAGAAAAGGCCTTTTGCCGAAAGTTATGCACACATGCTGTTTATTTCAAGTCCCTGTTTATGTAAAAGGCTGTTACACTTAGCATCTTTAGTAAAAGGGTAGGTCATAACTCAACAGCTTTGAAACAAATAGATGTATCAGTGACACTCAATAGAACAAAGATAGTTATCCTGTTTCAGGTAAATGGATTCAGACTTGTGAGATTCCTAACTCTGAGTCTTTCCCATGTAATAGTAGATTTTAAAATTTTGTTTGTTTTCATCGTGAATGGATATAGTTTTGGACAGAGATACTTTGGAAGACAGAGGAAGGTGAAAGGACAATATGGCAAAGCATGCACATTAAATCTACTCCTGACTTAATACCACTCAGAGATTTGGGTACTCCATGACCATTAGGTTCAGTTTAGGCAACAGATTCCTTGGCTTAGATATAATCTGACTAAATCCCCTTCTGATCTCATTGACTTCTGTTGTTATCACACTTGCAGCTTAGGTTCACAATGTGACAAATATTCAGCTGGTAACAGGACCATTGACTCTGTGTGATTTGACCAGTTTTAACTAATGTCTACCAAATCTACTTTGTTGTATGTTTTTTTTTCCAAATGAAATCGTATTTCATTCTCAACTGACTGGTACTGCTCATGAAACCACAGCAAACATTCTCATTTTCCCCCAACTTCGATATCCCAAGTTGAGCCCTAAGGTCAACTTCATCTGTCATCTTCTTCTGTCTTCTTACAGATGTATTGTCTTTTTTTCCCTTGCTAAATGATGAACAGATTAGATCCTGATGTTCCCCATAACTTATGTTTTCTCCCTTGCAACCCTCTCTAACCCTGTGATATTGAGCTGCTTTCTTGGTCTGGAAAGTCACTGAAAAGATAACAGATCCCTCATCTCTTTGTCCTAAGGAATGTCTATAGCTGTCTACAAATGATGTCTTTACCTCATGCCAGTATGTAAGAAACTCAATGTCTTCTCATTCATTTTCTCTTTCCAAGACTATGAACCCCTCTAGGTCAAAATTTGCATAAAGCCAGTGCCTTTCTCTCCCATGTGCTCATGATGCCACTTCTAGAAAATGTTGAGGAATACTATTATTTATCAGTTTGGTGGGTTTGTGCAATGTCTATAGCTGTTTGCTATGAATTTAACAGGAAAAAAAAATAAAACCTCATTCCTTAGAAGTATTTCAGGAAGTATATATAATTTTATGCAGATAATCCTCTCTCTGATTTTGGAGACCAAATCTCCAAAAGACAAAATAAGTCCACAATTTTGATGAAATCCTCTGACATGTTGTAATGTTATGATCAGGTACAAATACATTTATTGGACATTTGCAGCTCATGGACAAGAGCTTTTATCAGTATTGCTACTGTGATACACATTCAGTGGCCCAGGATTACATGGTTTCTTTCTTCTTATTTCAGTATTTCCATAGAGTCGGTTGCACTAGATATAATCTTTTTTGCTCTTCTTTTTTATCCTTACTTGAAAACATGGTATAGTTTCTTTCATAAACACATTTTTTCTGTAAAATAAGCACAGTTTTTCATAAGCTTTTGTCTGCCATAAATTAATGTATTTCCTGAAGATGGACATATTATAGAAGTACAGGGAGGGAACAGGGAGTTCTGCTTTCTCAGGCAAACATCTGTGACAGCTCAATCCTTCAGATAGAGTCAAGATGTTGCCAATCAGCTAATGCTCAGCGTTTGGCTGATTAAAGCAGAAGTTATGATGCCATATGCAACATTAGACCAAAACAGCAGTGTGTGCATACCATGTTCATACAGCTTTTCATGTCTGAGCCCTTACTGATTTTCACATCAGCTGTATCAGTGCCAAACCCACCGCTGATTACTGTTGTTCAGGATCTCAACTCCTATCTGTGTAATAGTGTGCTGTGCTATTTCAGAGCAGTCACCCATCTCATCTCTCATAAGAGTCTGTAACAGATGGTTCAGCTGGAACATTGAGACAGTGATACAATGGACAGTAATAAGAAAAACTGATGATCAAGGACATCCTGTGCAATTCTTGACTACATTTGATGTCTTTTCTTGAGCATAAATCATAGAATCACAGATAATGCTGACTTGGAAGGGAGCCATCAGGATCTTTGAGTCCAAGTCCAGGCCCTGCACAGGACACTCCAAGAATCACACCACGTACCATAAGAAATTAATGCAAGCAATACTCAAGTTTATTTCCAAAATTTAGGTTTTGATGGATTTCAGAATGTCTGTGTTCAGCATTTATATTTGGTATTTATTTCCCCAAGTGTGATAATCCTGACCTCAGAGACGCAAGAGCAGAAGGAACCAGAAAACTTCAGAACCAGAAAACTCATTTGTCAGTGCACTACTAGGTTTAGCCTTAGTGTGGAGGCTGTGTGAATGATGGTCTTTATTTGGGAGAGAGTACAAAACAAAACTGATCAAGCTTTTACCATGAGCTACTGCAAACAAGTTGAAGAACTATTTTGAATATTTTTCTGACCCTTACCTTCTTTTTGGCTATTTTCTAACCTCTAAGGTATATTGCCAAACTTAGAGAATTGGTGAAACATGAAGCAGAGAAAAATAAATCTCAGTGGAAAACTATGGGGCCAGCAAAAGTTGCAGTGCCGTCTCCAAATGATTTTCTGCAGAAACGTTCCAAGGAACCCAAGATAGCACCAAGTAAGTGTAGACAGAGAATATATACAATGAAATGTATTTTTTATGGTAGAGTTAAGTCTTTGTGTCCTACAGTACTAAGTTATGGCCAGCTATTAGTTGTAAAAACAAAAATACTGGTTTATGCAGTAAGTATCAGAAAACCAGCTGTTGTAGGAATGAGCTTTGTCACTTGTGACATTACACTTATTTACTGCCAAAGAAGAACATGTACTCACTTGGATCAATCATTATTTCTGGTAATGATAATGAATTAGAGTATGTCTAGTGGGAAATACGATGGGAAATAATTACTAATCACTCACTGTGAGACTACTCAGGATGCTACTTATTTCTGTTGGTGCCTTGGAGAAAAGATTACACTAAAATGGAAGAGTTTCTATATTCTCTGGAAAAAGGATTATTTGAAGTTGTTTACAAGGATTAGGGAGCAGCAAGAGCCAGGCTCTTCCCTAAGGAGAGATGAGTCAAACATTGAGGGCAACCACAATGCAGGCCAGGCAAAGACCTCACCAGGAGAGTGCAGTCCCACCATGTCAGGCAGGCCAGCAGAGTGGGGTGGTGAGAGAAGTCTGTTCTGTCAGTGCTCCACTGACCATCAGGCAAAATCAGGTTACAGGCCAGGTCCCTCCACTGAATCCACATAGCTCTTCAGGAGCAGGACTAGGGGCAGACCTACCTGAGACAGCTCATCCAGGCATTGACAAGTGAAATGGGGTTCCTGAGCCTGAGGGGGTGGGGTGGGTGCCCCTGGTGAGACTGGACAGGACCATTATTGCCCAAGGGCTCTGACAATGAGCACCTCTACTAAAAGTAATTATAATTACATTTGACAAAAGTCCTGTATTACTGCAGCTAAGAGGAAATGAGTGACATATAAGGAAAACCCATCTGAAACAACATAGTATTTCCTAGGTTATGAAACTTCTGCTAGGCCAAACATGCATCACAGTTCATTGACAGGCAGTTCTTTCATTGTACATAGTGTTTATTTTTCTAATAAATTCTTATTAGAATATAATAAATATATGTAATGTAAGGTAATAGGTTTCTATTTTTATGTAATTCTGTACAGTTTTTCCCTTTTGAAAAGTGTTATAATATTAAATTGAAAATCTCTTCAAATTTATTGCTGAGAATGTTTATGTGCTCTATTCACAGAAAAAAAAGAACGGGATTGTAAAAAATTGCTTCCACCAGTGCCACCCAGGACATACCACCCCGTTATTCGCATTAAAAAGAATTTTATAAATAAAAATGCAGTTGCTGTTATCAAGGGGGAGCCTAAAAAGCCTCGACATTTTTGTGTTGATACAAGACAGGGAGATAAATATCTCCTTGAACCTTCAGGACTTTTTCCAAAATACATTAAAAAAAAGGTACGTTTTATTAAATTATATGGGAAATGCTATTCATAATGCCTATTTTAAGTTCACTATTGCATAGATACCATGGCTGTTCATCTTAGATCTCTTGAATTCATCAAGAAGAAATCACTGGCTCTAGACTTATGCCTTACCTTTTCTCTATTTTCATTTGTTTATGCTGTCAGCCAGAAAAATTGGCAGAATGATTGTCCTAAAGCAATGGCATGTATCTTGCATTGGGAACCCAGGGAGGGTCTAATGGGGAGACATGGAATTCTGTGATGAATCAGCGTTTGCTGCTTAGAAAAGACAGGCAGGGAAGAAGAGAAGGAGGGTTGCCCTTTGAATGAAAGAACCGTTCAACTATATGGAGCTCTTCTATAAAACTGGCAACAGGGTGGTTGAGGTTGTGAGTCAAGATCAGAGGAAAGGCAGCGACTGTCAGAAGGGTGTTTGTTATGGAGCACCCAATAAGGTGAGGAACTGGATGAAAATCTCTTTAAGCAACTTGAGAAAATATTCAGATCATGATGCAGCTTCGTATGGAAGAGTTCACTGTCTTTGATAGCCACTGAAAGGATAACACAATAGGATGAAAGCATTCCAAAAAGTTTCCTGAAGCCTGTCAGCAACAGCCTTCTTCACAGATGGTGGATGAGCCAACCAATGGTCATGCTCTTCTGGTTCTGCTACTTTAAAAGGAGGAAGAATTGCTCAGGGGTGTGATAATCAGTTATAGTCTGGGTGGCACAGACCTTAGCTGTTCCAGACCCCCTCCTGTTCAGGGAGCCAGTGGTAGCATACTGACTGCTCAGGAGAGCAAATAGCAGCTTATTGAGGGTAACTGGTAAGTAGTCCCCTACCTGTGACAGCTCTGGAAGGCAAAGAGCTTGGGAGAGCTGACATGCTTTTAAGGACAACCTCCTCTGTGCACCACAGCAGTCCATCCTCTACCCAGGAAAATAAGATCTATCAATAGTCTGGTTTATCTAAACATGTAACCCATGAGACAGTATTAAGAGATGACATAAGACAGAACTCATGACAGAGAAGATGCCAAAAAGAACCTTGCAGTACTTTTCCATGGATAAACATGTATATGAACAATGCTAGTCATGGTGCTACCTGACAATAAAAGATTAGTGAATAATTTTGCATTTAGTAGAAAGGTAGACTCTGATATCTTTTGGCTAGAGGAGCTTCATTTTACAAAGTTTAAGACAAAATAGGTGTATTTCCCCAAGAATTTCTGGGATATTCAGAAGTTATTTTTTTCCTCACAGAAACACATCAGTATGGGATAGTTTATCCTTCTTAATTAGTCCAATTTTCATGTATGTATTTCTGTATGTTGCAATGCTCAGCAAAATTCAGGATACAGGCAGACCTTTCAAAGAAATTCTCTAAGGAATGTTTCCAATCAGAGAAGCTGACACCATATAAAAATGTAAAATAGCTCAATGTCATGAACAGGTTTCAAACTCCTTGCTCAACCATCAGTTCTTGTAAATAGACATTTTGGTTTCTGGATTCTGTTATCTTCTAATGTTGTGAAAAGAAATGGAAGGGAACTGTTTATATATTTTTCTCAGACTACAAAGGTAATCATGTCTTTTAAGAACATGGTGATTTAGGATTTTAATAGCACAATCAGTGCTACTGAGTAGCACAAATTGTCATTTCAAGCTATTTTAGCAAGTGGATGGATGACAGGTATCTGTTTGTTTCCTTCTTAAAAGCACATATAATGAACTTCTTCCTTCTTCTTATAGAATTACGGTGTTATACCAAAATATGTGACACGGAGAAATGAAGAAATGAAGAGAGAGGAGGAAGAATACCAGGCCAGTGTTTTGGAGCAATTCAAGATGAAAGCCATGAAAACTCTATCTGAGGAAGAAAGGACAAATATTTTAAAGGTGCATATTTGATTTAGTGTAATTAGTAACATGTCCAAAAGATTAAATAAGGTAGTGTAAGTTCATATAAATAATAAAAGTACGTTTTTTTGTTTTTTAAGTGAAACAAATTAGTTGGCTACTTTTTCACTAGATGGAGCTGTAGAACAGTTGTATACAACTGAAAGGAACTGATCTAGTTACAGTTTTAATTTTTTTCCATTCTGTTTGGTTCTTATCCACCTTAATGACTTGGAATTTCAGTGAAACTTCAAAGAGCAGAAAATCACCAATATGGATTTAGTGACATTTATTAATGGAGAAATACAATTTTTTTCCTAATGCAGAATATTGCTCCTTTTCTTGGCAGTTTCTATCCTCACATTGTGACCTCACTGATTAAAGTATAATGGCTTGCTTTAAAAAGTAGCAAAAAAAGAAAACAGAATTAAATTGCGATATAGTCATAGAATTATGACTGAAAATTTTGTTAAGATATTCTAGATACTGTCTTTCATACAGTTTTTATTGCACAAGACTTTCTAAAGAGAATTACTACCATTTACTGCCATAAAAGAAGCAGAGCATGAAAGAGATATCTTAAAAATATATCCTTAAAAGTAAATCCCTAGAACTGGAATTTTTCTTGAGAAAAATTTAGACAAATTTCCTATGAAAATGAAGCTTATATGACTGCGATATCTATACATCAGTCTGTCCCTTAATAACTTGCTCTTAGCATCCACTTGAAACAAATTAATAGATAGATGGACAGCTCAAAGATGCTGAATGCCCACAAAAAAAAATATCTAGAGAGAAAACAGTGTCTAACTCACTTGCCTGAAAGATGAACTGATTAATTGGCAAGGTCTGAAATGTCCAGCACAATGGTTTTTGCATATACAACAAGCAGTAGAAGCTAGGAAGGAGTATGGGAGAGAGGTGAGGGTATTGCACTGACAGCAGTATAAGGAACAAAACCACATGCTGTTTTGAAGAAGATGGAGACATTTTTATGGTAGGAAAGGCATGGGACAAGCTGATGGTCCAACAAGTTAACTATATAGCAAAAATTTTTGTGCAAAAAGGGCATGCGAGTTCAGCTGCTCACCGTTCTACATTTAGTTTGATTAAAAGTATGTTCTGTATTTTTCAAATACAGGAATGCACTGGAATATTTTTTTAATTTTTCCAGTTTTCAGCTTGTTTTTAGTAACTGAGTATTTAATTTTTTTTTCAAAAACATTTGCACTTCCGTGAGGTCACTTATACAGTTATATTGTCAGGAGGATTTAGTGTCCCCAGGGTATGTGGCTTCTATCCAGCGCTCAGCTGTAGGCATATGGGAATTTCTATCCTTTAAAATAATTGACATAGCTAATGAACACATGTGCACTATCTGATTTGAAAGAATACTCAGCAATAAATGCCTGAGACCAAAATCAAGCTTCATGACCTTATGAAAATAAAGAGAAGTAATTTGTGTCAACATTTTTTGAACTCTTCATTGTGCTTACTTTGGTTGGGATTTTATGAGAATAAAAGAGAATGCTGATAAATGCAGTACATACTTCTCACTGATCCAGCATGTGTTAGAATTCCATATATAGAGTTGGATATTCAGTTTGTGATCTAGCTGTAGGAATAGTGGTCAGCATATTACAATGTTGGAGGAAGTGTGAAGGCAATTTTTATAGAGTCATGATCTGTTTTTGATCTCTCCACTTTGTAAGAATAGAGCAAATTTGATGAATGTATGCTCTAACATTTTAAAATTCACTGTTTTCAATTATTTCCAAGCCAATTATTTCTTACTAATCTACACAAATAAGAATTATTTAAAGAATCTATGAATGACTCTTCTATGAAAGTTTTTTAAAAGATGAGATTTATTTTTATGCCTATATATTTATAAGCTGTACTTAATGCCTGGTAGACTATGATCTTATGAAAGTACTTTACAACTTTGGATAGCAAAGACAAGTAGATAACAAGATTACAAGACAGTAGATAAATATCCTTGTTGCTCTAAGTTTCACATTTAGCAGTAAGGTTTTTAAGCTGATGTAGATATTTGTATATGAAGATTGTTGGAATAACCTTTATGAACAACACTTAGATGCTTAATACGAATATGCAAAAAGCATGAATTGCTATGCAATAACTACACTGGTTTGAATTGTTAAAATATTAGTTCATGTTAAAGATTACATTTTTCTTAGTGTTGGCAGGAGAGTTCATTTTTTTCTGTAAATCAATTTATACAGTCAACAAAAGTCAAGTTTTTAAGCACAAGAGCCCTTGAGTTCTGAAATAGAAACAACAGTCTTCAAAGCTAAATATGTACAAAAATAACCCCTCTAAATTTAACTTCAGTATGTTCATCATTTAGCTAGACTGTGAGAAAAATGTTTAATAATAATGGAGGACCTGAGATTGGAAATCACAGTGTGCCATAAAAATCAGTGTGCCATTTGAATCCAGTTTTAGTTATGGAGAAGAGCTGAAAAATTTGGTTCAAAAGAGAGTAACTTAACTTCTTTATTTTTAGAGATACTTTGTGATATCCTCTAAGGTGACAGAATTGAGAGCCATAAACATTTTGGAGAACTGTTTTCTCACTGATAGGCGTGTTATTTACTGATTGCTGTCTCAGTTCCTTGTTAGTTGTTATTTTTAAGTTCACCCATATAGTTTTCAGGGGACATTTGATGCACTGGATAAACTCTACTAAATCTTCACTTACATGTGGGTAGAATGTATAGATTTTGATTATAATTTTGAGGAGAGAAAGTAAGAGCAATAACTGCAGTAATTGTAAGAAGGTTACAAAGGCAAGATTTAAATTTTATTTTTCTACCACTATCTAGTTCCTTTTAGTGTATATTGGTGGATAAAAGTGTTGTCTTTGGTGTCAGCTTAATAGGTTTATGAATAAGTTTTGGATTATAGCATTTAAATTTTTTTTAGGCAGAATTTTAATCTCAAGGTTTTATATATGTTCACTTTACCTAGAAAGGTAATTCTTTGCACAGCAACATTCAAGAGTGGTAGTAGTTGCTAAAATTACTGTTGATAGGGTCAGTGACAGTTAGGGTTTTTAGCCTAATTAATGAATAAATTGTCCATAGTTGTTACTGTCATTGTGGATTAGAAGGAGAATGCAATTATTCAGAGTTTTTTCAAAGTAGTTTATGGAAGTCAAAGTGTTGTGGAATCAGTTTGGTGACTGTGGTCTGAACAAAGTCTCAATTACAGAAAATTAAGCTGGTGGTGAGATGGCCTGAAATTTTGTTGAATTTTGGCTGGAGTTCCAAGTATTGTAACTCTCAAAGATTTAATTAAGGTCCAATTAAGATGATTACACATTATTCATATACTTATCTATCAGTGACACTTGGCAAATGTCATATAAATTAAAAAATCAAGTAGATTTTGTACATATTGTTCTTACTTTAAGTTTTTCTCATATATTTCCTTTTCATGTAATGGTACCAGGCACTGAAAAAGAACTGGGAGGAAATAAATAATGCATATCAAGGTCTTCCAATATTAGCAGACACCATGTACAAGAGGATGCATAAAGAAGAGCTGGAATTAAAGCTGAAACAACTGGAGCATGACATAGCAGCAATCGAGAAGCACAAAAGAGTCTACATTGCAAATGTGTAAGGATTGTTGCTCAGATACTGCCTCTTTTCTCCTTTTTCTCTATCCCTGCATCTCCAAGAAGTGCCTCTCTAAATTCTTAGAAGATGCTACTGTCAATTATTTAGAAGGAAATGCTCAACTAAGTATGTATCTTCTTAGAAACGTTGTTACATATGACTCATCTGTACAGTCCCCAAAAGAGTTAGAAATAAAATGCTTAACTAAACTCTGAGTATGAATAATGAATTAATTTTATTATTCTTTGTAATTTTTATTAACTACTAAGATTTCTATAAACATCATACAGAAAGCATATAAAACACTGTTTCATATGTTTGAAGTACATCTTTCCTTGCCTAGCCAAAACAAAGGGAAATAATTGGCTGCTGAAGACAGCTTGGTAAATATAACTTTAGGATAGAATGGCTTCTGGACTATATGTTAAAGAGATGTTATGCTTTACTTAAAAGCTTGAGTGATTACATTTGTAAATAGCTTGGCTTCTGCATAACATTTTGTGTACTCATTTTTTGTTACCAAAACCGATTTTCAATGTGGAAACCTGTAATAACACAGACATCACACAATACAGATACCGCATATGTGTTTTTACAAGTACACAATTCTGTAATACTACAGTAAATCTACAATTAAATTAGAAAAATGTGTTTTGACTGGAATTATGTGTGTACTGTTAGAATGAAAGCAATATACAAGCATCTGAGTCAAGACTCACACAAAAATTATATCAGCACACTCTACTGCAATTGTTTGCATAGAAGGAAAAATGTTCTTCTTTCCTACTGCTTCAGCTTTTCTTCATAGAATTGTAGGTATTGTTTAGATTAGAAAAGATCTTTCTCAGCCTTTCAGAACACAGCTTTTTCTGTATGGTATCAATCACTACCACCAGCCGCTGTTGTGACATCATCATATCTGACATCAGCAAAGGATAAAGTAAAAAATATGAAATTAACTATGAAAAGCCAAGTATTCCCATACATTAAGTTCCTTTCCTAAATTTGTCAGGGAATGGCTTTGAAGACTTCACAATGATTCTAGGTTTTATTTCTTGTGTATATTACACTTGTCTATGACATGCACTAGGAACATGTGGGTGAGCAGGAATGTGTATTTTCTTATTTGTAACTTATTGTTAAGCAATCATGTTTATTTTTGAAGGATGTAAGCTGGAAGAAAGCTGCAGATTTGAAAAAAGTGGATTTAATATGCTTCTTACTCAAAAGAATGACACACTGTATATTTTAACAAAACTACACTTAATTCTCTGTGAAGTTTGACAAAATAAATTTGCAGAATCAGAAGAATGCAACTGAAGAATGCAACGCTGTATCTATATGTTCAGGAAAAGCCAGCAATTGAAAATATAATGTTCATGAATCAACTAATAGGTACCATTGGTATAACAAAATTTAAAAGGTGAATAAACTCAATTGTTCTGATAGAATTCTTCCCTCATAAAAGCTATTAAATATTAACAGAAACAAGCCTGTCCACAGACTAAAAATTAACATTACCAGTTGAAACATCCTTTAAATTCACTAGTCAGTTACTAATAATCAATGAAATAACAAGACTATAACCAAAATGCTTCAGTACTTCATAATTATAAAACTGGTAGTTTCAAATTGGATAACCATAATAAAACATGAAAAATGGGGCATGAATAATCTATTGGTCAGTAAGAGTTATGTTCCCACAAACTGAAAATATTTCCCGTTGGAAGTTGTGCATGACAAAGCTGCGTATCTATTTTTTAAAAATAGCAACGTGAAATTATGATGAATATCTCACTGACTGTTCTTGAGAATGAAACTATTTATATTCAGGAAGGAAGGGATCAGATATGGCATGGTCACAAGCAGAGGGAGTTCCTGATTGTATGGCTCCAATAGACCTGCCTCAAGCAAGCGTCAGCTCTGATAGGAGCATGTGGGCTCCATGTGGCTGATCTTGGACCATGGTGGCTTTTTGGGCTCTGCATGCATTCCTGGGGACTGAGTCTGGGACAGTTCTTCAAAACCTTCCTTGAACAGGGGTAACCTCATTCCCCTCACAAAACAGTAAGGCCAAAATTCAGTGGGAAAAATAGGATAAATTCACCACTGAATTAATTTTTCATAGTTGCTGTAGGTAGGTTCTTTTGTAGGATGGCATGTTGTGACCCCTGGTATATTTTTGTGGAAAATCGATACAGCAAACTGCAGCTGTGATGGCTCTGCCACAAAGCTAAAATCTAGTCCTTTCACTGGCATACATTTCAGGCAACACAACATATCTAATAATTTCAGCCTTAATGAAGGCAAACATCTTTCAGATAAAAAAAATTTCACATATATGCAGATTAATAGGATCCTAGATAAATTCTAGCCTCAGTCCACACTTTCATCCTCAGCTTTAGGATGCTTATAATATTAATGACATAATTAGAGGGAGACAGGTGGCAAACCCTGTTATTAAGGTCATCTGACATTTCTCATAGTCAAGGAAGGCAGCTGCTGAGCCCTGCATCTGGCTGGCATTGTCCACCCCAGGAACCAGGTGTGTATTGAGCCTGACCAAGCCAAGGAGGAGCAGCCATTTCTTCCATGAGTGGCCATCCAAGATGGTACACTTGACAACATGAATGCCTAGACTGCAAGGTTTTTCATACTATCTCAATCTTCCTCCTGTGCTCCTTCTTGTCATGCAAAGTTATGTAAATAGAACATGAGTAAATTCAGGGTTTTCACCTTCCAGGCTAAGCAGTGGCATTATAGTAGGAATGCAACATGAATTATTTCTTGTGGGCTTTTTTTTACTGTTTAAAGGGTGCTGATATAAATAAGACTTCTATTTCACCAAGTTATGAAACAGAATTTTTTTACAGACTGTACCTCCAGAAATAGTTGTAGACAGGCAGACATAGCCAAATAGCAGCTATATGCTGGTCTTGTTGATGCTGCTAGGAGAGTGAACTTCTGTTCAGTCACAGTACTAACCTGAGGTGTTAATTCATTATTCCATGCCAGCCTCGACATTGACTGCACAACACGAAAAAATTCACAGAAACATGCAAACACTGGAATAACTTTGTATTCAAATCTTTCCTCAAATGTCCTTTGCAGTGGTGCCCACCAAAACTTTAACAACAGCTGAGCTGCTGGTGAGCTGAAATAAGGGTTAATCTTGCTGACCTGGGCTGTTTCCTTGAACTCCCCTGGTACTGTAGCCTGCTGTTTCTTGTCTTAAATTGTTATCTGTTATATGGATTGTGGTTTTCTCTCTTTGCTTAGTGTCACAATTTTCTGTTAGTAGAGCTCTTGTGTGCTTATAATAAAATTAAGAACAAATACCATCATCTGGGCATGAAGACCATGCAATAAGAATCCTGTTGTTTACTAAGAGGATCTGTTTTCCAAGAACTCTTGTTTCATTTGTTTCAGCAACTGGAAAGTAGGAGTTGAAGGAGGAGAAATGAGATTTAAAGCACTTAACTTACTCCCTGGAGCAATATGATTTATTCATGTCTTTGTCACAGCATGTTTTTGAAATGCAATGGTAAACGACTTATGCCTGGCTTTTTCACTGGTAACCATTAATGCTGCATTTCTTATTTTTGGGATTTCTGACATGCAATTTGAGCCCATCTGTTTTAAATACAGGATATGTGTGCCTAAAGTTAGAACCATGATTTGAGCCTAAACAGCACCATGGAATAGTTTAAAAGCTATTGGTTACTCATAATTATTAAAATTAATGAATAATTTAGTCTTGATAGGTCAGAGCCCCCATATTCAGGTGACTCAACCCTCTAAAATTTTGAATTAGCTGCTTTAAAAATGGACAAGTACCTCTAGAACTGTTCTTTGAGGTCCATTTTAAAGGACCTCATGTTGCTTTGAGGGCCATATTCAAGCTGAGGAAGCAGTGTAGTAATTCTCTCTTCAGAGGAAAAAACTCCAGTTGTGCTCAATATGGGGCCCCAAGCATTGCACAAGGGAGAAGCAACCACATTTTGCTCAGGAGGAATGATTTCTCTTGTAAACAAACAATAAAATTAGCAAATGGTCCAAATCCAGCATTCCAGCACCCGCAGGTAGTGGGTCATTCTGTGCTGGAACAGAACACAGAGGCTGTCCAGCCATGAACATTCACTGTCCTATGCTACAGGAGACCAGACTCTCTATTTCAATACACTTTTGTTACTGCACTGTTAATTCTAGGCAAGCTGTGAAGTATACAAAATTAAATCAAAGATAACTGAGCTATTCTGGGGAAAAAAAAACCCTTTAAACTGTTATTTGTTTAGTTGTTTAAGACACTCTGAATTATTTAGTTTGGCAGACTTTCCTAGATTTGTTTTAATTGAGGAAAAAGAATAATGTAAAAAGAGGGATGAAGCCAAGTGAACAATCTCTAACAGTTAAATTCATTACATTGGGTGTGACCCACCACATAGTTACAACTCCCTCACTAGTTTTCATGGTCATGCATGATGAATTTGTCATAGGATATGATGTGAGCAGCATTCCTTGAAAACAGTGCTTTATCATTCAAACATCAATGCCTCTAAATAGCTGGTTAGAGCAAATATTTCCATAACATTATAAAGAATATAAAGTTTATTCTAGTATTGAAGGACAAGAGGAAATTTCTGTTTGTGTTTCTTTCAGCTATAAGGACTCCATATTAATAACATGAACCTGAAAAGCAGGAAGGGTATCTTCAGGAGCCAGGAAATTGCAAAGCAAAGCTCTCACTGCTCTCGTTTGGCACAGTGAGATTAATAACAAACAAAAATGTAGTTTTGTATTAAAGATGTTTATCATAGACCAAATAAGTCAAAGCCCAGGGTTCTGTCAAGCAGTGCCTAACAGTGATTTGGAGGTTATAAATATTTTAAAAAATAGATTAACATCTTGAATGGCAACTTTTAGCTATTTTCTTTGTATCAAAGTTATTCCAGTTAATTTTCAAAGCCTAAGTCAGTCTCACAGACTCAGTACAGATTTACTGTGACCAAGCTTCCCTTATAGATCTTAGATGCTGCAGCTGCTTCAAAGCCTAACTTTCCAATTCCTCTAAAATGGTGGTAATGCTGCTGAAATTGAAGATGGACAGGAGCCAGATTCTAGCTTACAGTGCCATTCTGTCACCTGCTCTAGTACAGGAGTCACAAAGAACAATGTGCATCTTTTCTGCTGCACATCACAGGATGCTCTCTAGCCTTGCTAACGGGGCAGTATTTCTCATGGACTCCCTGTGTTCATGATTGTAGGGGAATAGTTTGAAGTCCTGCTTCATGCTCTCCCAGATGTCTGGAACACTGTCTGTCAGACATGTTCTGCTGTACTCAGGGTCTCCAGCAGCCACCCTATGGACAGGGTCACTGCCTCAGGTTATACACAAGAACTCAAAATTCTGGAATATATTAAAACTGGATATGAAAATAATTTGGAGTTGTTTCCAACATGCCCTAAAGTACTGTACATATGTTAGACTTTTGGATTTAATAATCTCTTCAGGAACCATTTTACCCAAAAATGTCTTTCTCTGACACAATTGGGTGTGTGTGTATGTGTGTTGTAGCTTACCTTGTAACCACTAAGAAATGCAAGTTTATGCTTGATAAGATTGTTTACAGTTCTGCTGTTCACATAACAGCTGCAGCAACAGGCAGAACCAGAAAAAGAGCTCTTACTTCACCCCCTAATTGGCAAGCTTCTACCTAGGTAAGCCATACCTCTTGAAATATTCTGGATTTTCATGCTTTTCTTGTCTAGTTTTGGTGTTTACATATTAAACTGAGTTGTCAAATGTTTGTTATAGCTTCTTAGAAGCAGTATACATAATGCAAAGGTTGCTTAGGTAACTCCATAATAATATTTGCCTTGGACTGCTTTCTTGGCATATCCCTGCCCCCAACCTGTTATTTTCAGTATTTCTTTACATTAAAGTTGTGAAAGGGTGGACATATCCTACTTTTATCAGCAACACAATAAGAGAGGAATAGATGTCTAATTGAAATGACAAAGCTGTATAAAAGCTAAAGACATAAATATATTCACAGGGGATTTGCATATCAGTCTTAACCCTGCTTTGTTTCTCTGTGTGTTGCTTCTTCCATCTGCTCCTTTATGGCTCTTGGCTATGTGTCCAGACCTACCCAGTCCTACTTGTTAGTATTATCGACCCTTATTTTCTTTGTTCTTTTCCCCTTTGATCATTTCCCCTGGTTGCATATCTAGAAATGTTTATTCTTTTCCTCCTACTTTTAGTTCATAAACTAACAGCTAAACAAAGATAGTAAGAACATTCTTCAGAATGTTTACAGGCTTTTTCATAGTTAAGCCAAATATCATGTTTTCACCAATCATATTTTGGCCGTAATTAAGTTTTGAAAGTCTACTGTAAGTTAAGTTCATTCATTCTATACCAGTCCATACTGTAAAAAAAAAAGGTAAACATTTGGTAAGTATATATTCCCCATAATAAACTCCTTAGCAGCTTCATTTCCATAATGCACAAAGAACCTCATTAATTCTGGTTTCTACTAATTCTGTGAGTTCACAGAACCATGAATTTGTCTCATTTGCAGCAAAACTAAACAAAATGTATTGTTTTATGCCAATGAAAAAAATCTTCGATGGAGAACAGCTTTGTGGGTTGAACGTGTGGCTGCTGACACAGTCAAGCACATCCAAGTGTACCCTGACTAAATTTATCTAGTTTTTCATTTCCTTACTCATATTTATTGTTATTAGCAAGACATGACACTTCATTACACTTCTTAAGCGAGCTCTGTAAAATTTCTGGAAGAACATCAAAACAAAGACTTGACAAACACATTCATCCAATCTTGATGGGAAGAACAAATATCTCCTGCTTAGGTTTTCCAGCACAATGCTGAAAGAATTTATTTTTTAGTGTCCTGCTGATGTTAATGCTTTTCAAAGCATTAAGCTTCTGTCTGTAGTTAGAACAATCTCTCGTATTGCAGTAGTCTGATAAAGAATATGGTTTAAAAATACAGAAAGCTGCTAATTGTAACCCAAATAGTCTGAAGGGTAGAAGAAAACAGTCATCATATAGCAGTGGCAGAACTGATTTGAGGTTCTAGCTGTAGTCTGAATAGGTTCAGATCCATACAGTTCAGCTCTGTGACATAAATGCAACAGTAGATTTATTGGTAACTTGGTGGTAACTGATTCTAATTGCACTAGCTTTAGGGCAAATATGGGCTTTAGGAGGCATTCTTTCAGACATGAAGAGTCTTTAAATCCTGAAAAGTGTGGATACAAATCAGGAGGAGTTAACTCAAAGATCAGATGAATGAAACTTTCTTTCTCAATAGTTGTATGAAATGTTGAGATATAATGGAAATGCAAATCTGTTTAGGGATTTTGTCCATTATGAAAAGCTCTTATGTATTTTGCCGAAATATTTTTATTTTATTTGTGTAGGTTTGTCTAGAAGTCTGCATATGCTGTTTATCAGATTCACTACTTATTATTTACAGCACTGTGAACAGGAACTATTTCTTCCCAGCACATTTCAGTCTTCACATAGAGACACCACTTTGAGGCAGACGTATTCTGAAGTGGACTTCTGACACTTTGTAAACCTTGTCTTTTGTTCTTTCAGACATGCTGTCTATTGTAGCAATAGCTCTTTAAAGAATAGTTCCTTAATTCATCAAAAAGCAAACACCCCTGACTTCATATAAGAAACAAAGCATTTGTCACAATATATTCTTCAATTGCTATAGTACTTTGCCAGATTTTAATTAGTGATTATTTTATAAGAGCCTTCTTAACACCAGATTCCTAAGAATTGTCCTGTCAGTGCTAATGTAAGTGCATTAACAGGATGCACCTTAAAACTTGTCCACATTGGACACCAAACTCCCTGTGTAGACATACCCATAACTGCTCCCTGGATCTGTCTGTTGTGACCAGAACTGTCAATGACCACATTCTAATAGTAGTGTACCAACCTGTAACGTTTCATACTTGGCTGGTGAGAGCCCCTCAGGTACCACTAAGAATATTTCACTATTCCTAGGTCTCCCCTCAAAGCAACTTTTTCTTCCTTTAATATTTTCTAGTATAGGAATGGCAGAATTCTACCAGCTGTGTATTTGACAGATTGATACTAGAAATTATAACCAGTTTTCAATTTTAAGAAAGTGAAAAGCTCTGTTTTTATCCACAGTGGGCAGAGAGGCTGTTAGCATTTTCCACAAAAGACAGGATACAAAAAGGATGGAGCAAGTCCAAGTTTGAACTTCTAATATGGGAACGTAAAAGTAGGCAATGATCAGAGTAAGCCAATAAAAAAACAAGCTCCTTCTCATCTGAGAGGCTGTGAGGCTGTGAAAGTAAAATATTATTAATAATTTTAACAGAATTTGAAGTGGGTGGCAGGAAGCTGCATTGTTCCTGGTGCCTGATCTGTTTACCTCCAACTGCACAGAGAGCACAGGCAACATGGACATGGGCTGGGGGCAATAGGAAGACAGCTTGCCCCAGCACGTGCACAGTGGTGGGAAGGAGCAGCAGCTCCAGAAGACAGCAAGAATGTAAAGTATGACTACTGAAGCGTTGGAAATTTTCTTTTTTTTCTTCCCCAGAGCATAAGAAAACCCGGTTAAAATAGCAGTTTAAACCACACCACCTTAATATTACCCTTAATCCAGGCCAGGCCCCTTGGCCAGCGCTGATCAAGCCTTTCCACATCCCGACCGAACCTATACCCGCACAGGTTCCATCTGCACCCTGCACCCCCCATCCCGCATCTTCCCTCCCGCACCCCACATCCCGCATTCTCCACCCTCCCTCCCGCACCCCACATCCCGCACCCTCCCTCCCGCACCCCACAGCCCGCACCCTCCCTCCCGCACCCCACAGCCCGCACCCCTCACCGCCGCAGTCGCGCTCGCCCCGGCGCGGCCCCGCCCCGCCCCGCCGCAGCCCCCCGGCCGGGCGCGCGCAGGAACATGGCCGGGCAGGGCGGGAGCAGCGCTGGAGGCCGCGGCGTTGTGGTAAATGCGGAGCGCGGCCCGGCCCACCCTGGCAGCTCGCCCCTCGCCGGTTGCGGTGCTTCCCCGGTTCCCGGCCCGCTTCCCCGCTACCCTCTGGCGCTCTGTGCTGAACCCCCGCGCCCTTCCCTTCCCCCGCTTGCTCCGGGCCCCCGGCCGGCGCTAGGGCCGCGTCCCCTCACGCTGCGCCGGTCCCGCCGCGCCCGCCGGCCCCGCTGCCCTGCCGGGGAGGGACGGGCGTGTTGGGCTGAGCCGCGCCTTTGGCTTCCGCCGTGAAAGCACGGTCCGGTACCGCCCCGAGAGGCTCCTGTGGCCGCGGCTGTGCTTCCCCACGCTCCCTGAGTACCGGGGATGAGGATCCTCCGGCATCCCGAGGTGTCTTTCTCCCACCGGAACGCTGAGGGGCTCCTGGGGGTCCGCGGGCGCCGTGAAAGAGGGTTGGGCTGTTCTTGTTCTTCTGGGGTGGAAAACAGCCCGAACCTTGGCAATGCGTTTGGAGTGCCTGTAGGGATGGATAAATGGTGCAAAAATGAATGAATGTGATCCTTATTCTGATAGACACACCAGATTCTCCTGTGAAGCAAATGCCATCACTGCCACCACCTTAGGTATGTTCTTATTTTAATGTGGCATTAGGATTTTAACAGAAAGTTCATGGGTCAGCTGCCCAGATCATGGCCCAGGGCTCTCTGTGTAGGCTGTGGTTGCACTGTCCACTCCAACGTCCCCTCATTCTTCTTCCAAAGGACCTGTCTCTGTGTGTTCGAGGTCTGTCTGGAAACACCACACATCAACCACTCTCCTGACACCTGTGTAATAAATGACATTCCTTAAGTGGGTGACTGCATATCACCAGAGCAACACGAGGTTATTGCAAAGAAGGAGGTGAATGTGCGTGACCATGTTCTGCTGCACTGGTTTAATTTTATCTGCTCAACTCCCCAAAAACCCAACCAGCAGTCAGTCCACTGCAGCATCATTTAAGTTACAAAAGCTGCACTTTGTTTCTTGCTTGTTTGGAGGTGAGGACTGAGCTCACACCTCACCTGTGCTCACTTTGCCAGATGAGAAAACGAGCAACATTCTTCTAAGGGTGTTGCAATTGAATGTCTTCAGCTTCTCTCTTAGGCCTTGAGGGAACACCTTTGGATATTGCCATGTATTTGTATTCCTTTTTATATTCATTCACATCAACTTTTTTAAAGACTTATTGAAGAATATCTGCTGGGCTATTCAAACATGCAAAGCCTGAACTTTAAAAGTGCCTGTTTAAAAGAAAGAAGAGTATGAAATAGGCTTATTATATCAGACAAATAATTAATTTGAAAGAACATGTGAATTTCATCTTATTTATGAAATGCCAGCAAGCACTTGTGAACAAGAACTTCAATATTATTGTAGAGTTACACTGTTTATGTTCTGCTGTTCAAGAGAACCCGAAGGATAAATGAGAGAATCAAAATTTCATCCTGATCCTGTTTTATAAAGGACTTATTGTAACCCAGGTAAAAGTTATTGGTTTATATGAGTTCTGGAAGCAATTTCTATCCATTTAATTTGATCTTCTGCATCATGCTGAAACCATTCAATTTGACAAGAATGCAGAAGTAAACAACACTGACAGGGATTGCTAGTGGGTGTTTGTAATACTTAATGAAATTGTTTCAGTTTGCATTAAAATGCTTTGAACAAACTGTTCATTGCTACAAAATCTTTAAAAAGCTTCAGCCCCTCCACACACTGAAAAAGTGGATGGGAAAATAGTCTTTCCAGGCCAACTAGCAGTGTTTTTGGAGCAAGATTTGCCTCTAATTAGAAACGTCGCCAAGGAGGATATTTATAATCTCCTGTTTCTATGGAAATGAGGAACACAACTAAGTAACTTTTTTTCTTTTGTGTAGTTTCAAGGCTTGTGTAAGTCAGGGGAAAAGCTTTCATTGATTCTAGTGATCTCCCAGTCATGCCCCTCATGGGGCATGCTACTCATTCAGTAGCAGTTGGCAACGAATACTTTTTTTTATGCAGAAATTTTTGGGTAGATTTAAGAAAACATAACAGTCAAGGTGTCTGTAGCTATCAATGAATATACAAAAAAAAGGCCCCCAAGCAGCCCAAAATCCACAAGGAAGAACAGTGTTTCAGTACAACATGAGCCAGGGCTGTGTCTGAGTTAAAGAAGTGTGGATGTAGAGGAACAGCTCAACATCAAATATGTTATCTTAGCCAAAATTGTGAGAAACTGTTTATTGCTCTACTGTAGAATGGCAAGTGTAGGTTGGTTTCAGTGATGGCCCTTTAAAGACTATCTGTAGCAAAAATGCCATTAAGACATGCACCGCACAGCGGCAGGTTTGTCACCATTTTTCCTTGTACTCAAGATTCCTTAGCCAAGCTATGTGTGACCTCTGGAATATGATTGTAAGGAAAACAATAAGTGTTGCTCTTTATCCTGAACCAGTATTGAAGCAAAGCTTTGTAATGATTTCAAGATACCTTGTGAACCTGCAGGTCTTGTCTTTCATAAGGAATAGGGAAAACTTTTATTTTGGAGTTTGTTTAGTTTTTGTACTGGTGACTTTGCATTTCTGAATAGCTTTCTGAAGCCTCCAACTGTTGGCTGATTTTTGACCTTCTTAAGCTCTACCACCATTGTATGTTTTGAGATCTAATCTCTGTATTCTGATACTTAAAAAAACAAAACAATGTATAATAAGTTTGTAAAATACTGTTTCTGTAAATATACGGATTTACAACCTAATTTTATAGTGAGGTGAGATTGAAACATTTTGTAATCACTTATCTTTGATGACATCTAAATTAAGAACCTCACCTTTGGCAAGAAGTACAGCTTTTCACAGATTTGTACAGATATCATCCATGAACCACATAGATTATTCTCTACATGTGATGTTTCATCTGTAGAATACTTAGCTATTTATTTATGACTTTAAGTAATTCTAAACTAGAAATACACAAATTTAATATAGAATTTTATGACTTCTAATTCTGCCATCCATTCTTCCATTGGAGAATCCCTTCTTTCTGGCAATATTATATTTGCACTTTGAGTTTGAAAGTACTTAGAAATTTATTTTAGCCACTAGTTTAGTATTAAATATTTCCTTTGTCTATCTAGTTGTTTGTAATTTCAAGTGACATTTCCCACTTTCTATGGGGAAAAAGCTGTGGCATTTGATTTCTGAGTTATACTGAGGAGCAAAATAATTAATGGGAAAAGCAAAACAGTAAATTGTAACTGGAAGAAAGTATGATACACAAATTCATCCAATAGAATGTGTACTAGAGTGCTGATTTTGTATCAGTTACATAATGTGAAACACCATGAAGTGTTCTTGACAGTACTGTTTGATATTCAGATTTCAGACAATTGGCCTGGATACAGTCTGGATTTATTTACTTATCCTCAGCACTACTATGGAGACCTGGAATATGTCCTCATTCCACATGGCATTATTGTTGACAGGTATGTGTAGCTTGAATGTTACTAAATAAATTGTTTGGTCAGTAGTATTGTTCTTTATTATAAAGGCTGTCATCCATATAAAGTGCATGTATAATCTTTGTCTTAAAATATTACAAGTTAAAAACTTGGATATTTTTATTTAGAAATTTAAATTAATACATTTTTTTGTGTGCTGGAGTACCTACACTTTTAACATACAAAGTAGTCTTTGGAATTCCTGGAAATTTCAGCTGCAAACAATCTGAGGAACAATATAAAAAACAAAAATTCATCAAAGAAATGTTTCTTAATGAGGGGTTTTCCCCATTTTCAGACTTCATAAAAGTTGATGAAAGACTATTTTATTAATCTTCAGTAAAGTAAGTGATCCTCATTCTTGCAACACTAGAAGGAATTACGTATTTCACATCAAATGAGATGATCTAATATTTCTAATATCTTCTATTTCTCATATCAAAAATATATGAGATTTGATATGATATCTCATATCAAAAATATTTTATAAAAATATAATTATTGCTATATGGAATTTACTAGAGCATTAAAAATAAAAGATGTGGAAATGAAGCAACAGCTGTTTCTCTTTAATATATATTAATATATTATCTTCAGTCTAGAGCTTATTCTTCTCTGCTCCATGAACAGATTTCAGCCCATGTGCTTATGCAGAGGCAAATTGATTTCTGTATTACAGCTGGTAGAGAAAGAAAAAATCAGCCAAATCTGAAAAATGTAATAATAAAAGACATGGGATAAATTATAGGATTACTTAATAAATTGTATCCTGTCTACAAGTCTACTCTCATTAAAACTACTAACCTAATTCAGAGAGCTATCAAAGAATTTTCCAGTGTATTTACAGAATGTAATGCACTGAGCTGTTTTTCCTCAAAACAGTTTTCTGTTGATACTGCATTACATCTAGAAATGACCCAGTTATTATTATTATTATTATTAATAGGGTTATTGTAGGTCTAGAAATGCTAATTTTAAAGTTAATACTTATTATTTACATTTATTTTTAATATTAATCTTTATTATTTTTACCTTGAAAATATATGTAGCATTGCGGGGCAGAAATGTGTATCATTTGTTTCCAATCATCTGCCATATTGTGTTTGCAATGCAGAATTGTCAAAGAGAGGATAGGTTTGGTTGGGAACCCCACAATTCCATGTTCATTGGAGCATTTGCCTGATTATTTGCCTGTGTGTGACTTTGAACAAGTCACTGAAGCTCTTTGCAGTCCTCTCTTCTGCTGTATAAAACAGTGAGCTGTACAGAATAGTGATAGTATACGCTCTTTATAAGCTTTTCACTGATGCTCTATTGCTTTCTAGTTTTTATGTATATTTTTATTAAATCATAGGGGTAGCATCTTCCAAAGCCAATCAGCACAAAATTTTCAAATATTCTTCCCTATCTTTCACTTAATTTGTTGTTCTTATGCAGTAACTAACATAACAAGTTAGGGCTTTGTCCAGGTATATTTTATTCTGATAATGCCTGTGAGGTAAAATGGAAGGCTAGCTCACATTCTTGTCTCTCGAGTCTCTTATGAGCCAAAAATACGCAGAGATGTGTAGGTTCTGTTTGTATAGATGGGGAATTTATGCATTTAAGGTTAACCCCATTCATGTGCTTTGCATCTTGCATCCATCACTCTGTATCTGCTGTCTGTGAGCTGGATCCAAACCCAGTCAAACATTGGAATGGACTGTCCTGAAAGGTGGTAGAGTCACCATTCCTGGAGGTGTTCAAGCAATGGCTGGACCTGGCACTTACTGTGGTCTAGCTGACTTTGTGGTGATCAGCCAAAGGATGGACTTGATGATCTTGAAGGTCTTTTCCAACCTAAATCACTCTGTGATTCTGTGAAGTCAGGATACTTAAGCAATGCCAGTCAAGCTTTGTACTCACCATAGTGTTTGTAAAGTGTACCATGAACTTAAAGCATCTGCATCTAAAGTTATTTTATCCCCAATTTTTTTTTGCCCAGGACAGAACGACTGGCAAAAGATATTATGCAAGATATTGGAGACAATGATATTGTGGTTCTCTGTGTCCTCAAAGGTGGATACAAGTTCTGTGCTGATCTTGTGGAGCACTTTAAAAATCTTAGCAGAAATTCAGAAAGGTTCATCTCCATGAAAGTCGATTTTGTTAGACTGAAAAGTTACCATGTAAGTCAACAACTGATTTATGTAGATTCTGGTTGAGTGTCATAATAAATAGTTGACTTTTGCATGTGCGATCTCCACCTCCAATTATAAGAAAAACTATGTGAAAAGTATTTTTGTTTGAAAAACCTCTGAGGTTTTCTTAAAAACTCATATTCCTTATACTTTGTCGATAGTATGAATATGGATATGAAGCATCCTTGAGCTCTGTTGTTTTATTTAGTCTGTCTTTTACTTCTGGTCAGAGACGTATTCAAATTTCATTCATGTAAAATGTTGGCATCTTGTTTGTTCACAAAATCCTCAGCAGTTCTGTCAAGTTAATTTCATGTTACTGCATTTTCCACCCCCGCATAGTTTGGCATAACTGCAAGGTGGTAAATCTATGTCTCCTTCTAAATTTTTAATGCTAAGTAAATGAAATGCTTTCGTCTTCATAGCATGCAGTTTATATAGTAGCAAAATATACCACCAGATGATGATAGTGTTCTACAAGAAAATGAAACAAGCTATTCAATCAAACACAGTGTTGAAGTAATCATCAAGCCCTCCTGTTATCTTCAGAAGAAATTATGCAATAATGATTCATCTGTGTCACTGAAGATATGGTAATGAGATGACCAGCATTTTTTTGGATCTCTAACTGAAAGTTCTTATTGTAGCCGTTATAAATTTATATTCTACCTTGCAGTGCATGTTCCATAGTGAGGGAGCATTTCTATAAGTAATTTGTTGTAGAAATGTCTGAGGAAGTACACTAATAAATAGAGTGATAATACGGTGTTTTGCAGAAAAGCAGCTTGCTATGTCCAGTAGTTCCCACAATAACTACATCCTTTCCACAGGTTGTTGGCTGGCGTTTTCTTCTGACCCCAGTGACTACAAACTGTTCCTAACTTTCACAGATTTGGTCTGACTTTTTTTCAGTGTGGAAAAAAGTGAATGAGAACCTTTTATAGCCATTTGGTTAGGATTTGGTCCTGGGACTTCTGTTTCAAGAATTAGTTAGTTCTATGAAGCACGTGTGAAATACTAATATTATATAATTTCTAGCAGTATTAGAAATATTAGTATTAGCAGCATTACAGAAATAATAATTTATAATGTTTGTCTCACATAATGGCACACGGAAATTTTACTAAATTTTTTTTGGCATAGTTATAATAGCACTTCAGTAACACTGCTGAGCAAATAGTGGAATTACTTAAACTGGGTTTTGTTTTGCATCTGGCATATAGCTAATGCACGTGATTTTCCTACAGAGTTATCTCTTATCCAGTATGAAGATATCGTGGTTGTAAAATTTCTTTCCTCGGGGTCAAATCTTATTAGCCATACTAACCCATAACCAATGAGTGGCAGAAGATGTGTACTGCAAAAATGTGGAAATTTTCACATCTTTAGCTTAGGAAATAATGTAAAAGCATGTTATATCAAGCTGAAACAGCACTAAGAATTTTATTATGTGAGGGTGCAGTTACCAATACTAAGTCCTAGATGATCTTATCATTTAGTGGCTGTGCATATTTTGGGTCATAGCCTCATGCTGTATCAGAAAGATACCACCTTCCCAATAACTAGTGCCTGCATCTGCTTTTTTGAAAATATATTCTTTTTTCTTATATGTACTGCCAAACAGGTGTCATGTATTTAGAGACTGAAGCTGTCCTTGATTTAGTGCTTGGATTTAGTGCTTGATACCTGTTTGGTCTTGAGAAGCTGAATGACACTGCAGCAGAAATTTGAAATGACATTAATATTGGTAGATGCAGTCCATGAGATATGCATAAACGTAATGCTGACTACAGCACCAGTACCACTAGCTGCCATCCTTTGCACCTGAGTTACTGTTGTGTCCTGTGCAATTGCAGGTTTTGGAGAATGTCCCCTTGTCAGCTTAGCTGGGCTGAAATCACTTCAGGAACTCACTGTACCTGGTCTGAGTGACTCTTTATTCCAGCCTTATATGAAACTCCCAAATCTCCATGACAGTTTATTCTGTAATAACATATTTTTCTCGGTATTTTACACTTTAATCAGAGACAACAATTACAGCTTATCTAGAGATAAGACTCTACTTAAAATCTTGGAGCATCACCAGTTCCACTCCTTTGCTTTCCTCTGTGTTTTCTGTTCCACTTTCTAGTAAGACTTATTACTGCTCTGTCTTTTTATCCCTTTTTCATTTTACAGACACCATTCTTCTCACATTATTTATCCTGCATCCTTTTACTAACTGTTCTCTCTTTCTCTCCTGAAGGGAGTCCTGCTGGTCTCAATATGCTTCCTTCAGACATGTCTCCCTTCCCCCCTCAAGCTGTTTAAATCCAGCAACTAATTTCAGCTCAAACTCATGGGATTTTTGTATTGTCTCATTCCAGCTTCACTATTGAAAGGTTAGTTGGTTTTTAGGGGTTGTAATTCAAAGTGGGATTTCTTGGTTTAATAGAATAGCAAAAATGGGCTGTAATTGTGACCCAGAGTCAGATCTTGGCATCAGTGAAAGTACCCCTTAATTGCCAAGTATCAGTGGAAAATGTTGTACTTTGCTGTTTGGCATGCAGACATGATTACAGGAAAAGGAGATTGCAAATATGACCAGTTTTATATGGCTCTTCGTTTTGCAAACCTGTCATAATATTACAGAATTTAGACTTTAGAATTTATACTTAATTAGTATGTTAGGATTTCTTTCATATTAAGTAGCTGAAAGCTGGGCATGTATCTTCTTCGTTAGATTTCTTCATGCAAATGAATTGGTTGAAAAAAAAAGCATAGTACATTTAGGTTCTCTGGATATTAATAAGATGAGTGGCTACTTGTACTGCCATAATCAGGATGGTTTTATCTGGTTTGTAAAATATTGTCATATGTACCTGAACATTTTTACATTTTTGTGAGAAACTTTCCTGTATTTTACAAGGAGCAGTTTAAAAGAAAGCACCAAGATGAGAGTTACAAAATAAGATTTCAGGAGTAAACAGATAGGAAGCATCATGTAGAATTAATGATAAAAGTCAGGAAGTAGATGGAGAGGAAAATCAAATCAATTTTCCAGATGGAAATCTGAATGAAAAGCAGCAGCTCTGAGTTTTAAAAGGCAGAGAAGAGAAAAAGCACACTTTCTTGAATGAACTCAAGAGCAGCAAGGCAAGAAGGATAGTGGGTAGAGCAAGAAGCACTACAATAGTCCTCATGTGAAATATGATTAATATAGCAAAAGATGTATGCCAAGTTTTAGGGGAAAACACTGTATTCTGGAAACACTGACATGAGATCTGAGAGAATTTGGCAGCTTTTTAGATATTAGGTTCTAAGATACTGGATTTTATTATAAGTCAGGAACAGTGGAATTGACTGCAGAGATTTTTGAATTTAAAACTGGATGAATAAAATTTACTATTCAGTTTTTACCATGCTGATTGTTTTCCCCGAGTGATTGTTCCTCCACAGGAAATCGGAGTTCTGAAGTTGAAAATGGGTGAGATTTCAGATTGAAAAGAGAATTCAAAATTATTTCCAGAAGCATGGTATGTTGAAGTCAAAGATGAAAAGTAATGATGGAAGATGTTGAGCTGGGGAATGTCATCTAAAGAGAATGTAACCCTAGCAGGAGAGATAGTGGATCCAGAAATCCTGTAATACATTTGTGATATTGATAACTGTAGGAGATTAAAGAGCTGATTAAGAAGGTGTTTTACTAGGGTGTTTTGAATTAAATGATAGGACTAGACAAGAAAGAATGGTTGAGGATGAACCGAAGGTGAGAATGAACAAAAAAATAGAAGGATGTGGATGTCATGAAGGGAAGGGCTGAATAGTATATGTTTTAGTAAAAGCACATAGTATGAGAAGTGTAGTAGCAGAGCAGACTGTTTGTAAACAATAATTAGAGCTTCTCCGTGTTCAGTGTGGAAGAGAAAATTTAGGACAAGCTGAAAAGGTAAAGGTTGTATTACAGCTTCAAACAGAAGAGGATGTTCTGGCTTAGCAAGTCTAATCTGCAATGAAGAGATGAAACAATATCACCTAATCCTGGTTCTACGGCTATGCCAAATGTGACCTTTAAGTCAAAGCTCAATTTTTAAATGGAATTGAAAAAATTAAGAAGTAGAGGAAGTATGCAGGCTTTCTTGAAAGGTTCTCAACAGCCTCTCAATAGAAGAGAAGGTAAATGCATGTGAATTAAGACTTCTTCAGTGGATAGATGATGAAAGCTAAAAAGATAAGGAATCATGGTAAGAGTCATTGTTGAAACTGGTGATGGGGACTAATGGAAGGAGGATAAACACTACACACTTTTATTAAGTAGAGCAGTGTGCTTTCTACATGCATTGCTACCTGTTCTTGTAAAATGCATGTATTCCCATATGGTTATCCATAGATATCTATCTATTTCTCTTAATTACTGTTTGTTATATGATAGATATGATAGTAAAGCTCACATCTTGGGGAAGGACAAGAGAATCATGGTGGCATAACCTTTTTTGACTGAAAACCATGGAGAAGTAAAGTAGGAATGAGATTGTTACTTTTCCTTAAGTCTTTTGTGATTTGTTTGGTTATGTGCGTGGACTAAAGTGGCAGAAGAGCAGTGATCTCTGTTATTTTGAAATGACATTGTTATAACAAACTCTGTTATTTTGAATAACTTTGGGACCCCACCTGGAGTACTGCATCCAGCTCTGGAGTCCTCTGTACAGCAAAGACAAGGATCTGTTGGAGGGGGTCTGGAGGAGGCTACATACATGACCACAGGTCTGGAGCACCTCTCCTAGGAAGACAGACTAATTCAGTTCAGGTTGTTCAACCTGGAGAAGAGAAGGCTTTGGGGAGACCTTAGAGCAGACAGCCAGTACCTGAAAGGGGCCTACAAGAAAGGTGAAGAGGGACATTTACAAGGCCATGGAATGAGAGGAAAAGGGGAAATGCCTTTAAATTGAAAGAGGGTAGGTTTAAACTAGATAGAAGGGAGATATTTTTTTTTTTTTTATGATGCAGTT